TGATGATGCTGATGATAGCTGACAATGCTGATGATGATGATGCTGACGATGGTCACGGCGATGCTGATGATGCTGACGATGACGGCGACGATGATGATGATGCTGATGACGGTGGAGGAGGGAGAAAGGGGAGGGATCTGATGGGAAATGGGAGGAGGGGGAGGAGGAAGGAGAGGAGAGACGCGGGGCGTTGCCTCTTCAAAACGAGGGCCCAACACCACAGGATGGCGTCAGCATTTGGGCCTTCGGTGGAGCTCACTGTGGGGCCACGAGGCGCTGTACTAGGTGGAGGAAACGCAGGGATGATGGAGGAGGGGGAGGAGGAAGGAGGAAAGAACAAGGAAGGAAGGAACGCGGGGCGCTGTTTCTTCAAAGCGGGGACCCAACACCACAGGATGGCTGGGAACTTAGCCTGGCGAAAGATCCAACCATATGCAGTTGTGGATCTGCAGTTGTAGGTCTCGTCTTCGGTGGGGCTCCCTTAGGGCCACGAAACGCTGTACTGGGTGGGGGAGACGTGCGGGTTGCGCAACTGGGGCCCTCGGTGGAGCTCCTTATGGGGCTACGGAGCGCTGTACTGAGTGGGGGCGGTGACACTGGGGCCTTCGGTGGACCTCCCTTTGGGACCACACAGCGCTGTACTCGGTCGGGGCGGCGCATGCGGGTTGCGCCCCTGGGGCCGTCGGTGTTGCCCCCTACGGGGCCACGAAACGCTGTACTGGGTGGGGGAGACGCGTGCGGGCTGCGACGCGGGGACCTTTGGTGAAGCTCCCTATGGGGCCACGAACCGCGAGTGGAGCTTGCGATGGGGCCACACGCGCTGTGCTGGGTGGGGGAGGCGCACTTGGGTTGCGCCACTGGAACCTTTGGTGGAGTTCCCTGTGGCCACGAAGCGTCGTATTGGGTAGGGGAAACGCACGCGCGCTGTGCCACTGGGACCTTCGGCGGAGCTCCCTATGGGGCCACGTCACGTTGTACTGGGTGGGGGAGGCGCATACGGGCTGCGACGCTGGTACCTTCGGTGGAGCTTTTCATAGGGCCACGAGACGCTGTAGTGCGTGGTGGACGCGGGCTGCGCAACTTGGACCTTCGGTGGAGTTCCCGGTGGGGTCACGCTTTGCCGTTTTGCGCGGGGGGCGGGGGGCGCACGTGGACACCGCCACTGGAGCCTTGGGTTGAGCTCCCTATGGGGCCACGAAGCGGTGTGCTGGGTGGGGGAGACGCATGCGGGCTGCGCACTTGGGAGCCTGGCTTGCTCCCTCTGCGCTCCGCATGTCGGTGTTTCGGCACACGCAGTGCAACGCGTCGTTGTGGCCCCGTGGGGAGCTCCACCGAAGGCCCCAGCGGCAGGGTCCACACGGCATGGCGGCGCCGCCCCATTCTGGCCCACCCTCACACGGTTCGTGGCCCCATATGGAGCTCCACCGAAGGCCCCAGCGGCAGGGTCCACATGGCGGCGCCGCGCCATTCTGGCGCACCTCTCGCACGGTTCGTGGCCCCATATGGGGGGACGAGCCGAAGGCCCTTTGGCAGGGTCTACATGGCGGCACCACCCCATTTTAGCGCACCCTTCACTCAGTTTGCGGCTCCGCAGGGAGCTCCGCCGAATGCCCCAGTGGCAGGGTCGACATGGCGGTGCTGCTCACACGGTTCGTGGCCCGAAACGGAGTTTCACATTTTGGCGCACCCTTCGCACGGTTCGTGGCCCCACAGGGAGCTCCATGGAAGGCCCCAGTGGCAGGGTCCACATGGCAGCAACGCACCATTTCGGCGCACGTTTTACGCGGTGCCCCGTATGGGGGCTCCACCGATGGCCCCAGTGGCAGGGTCCACATGGCGGCAACTCCCAATTTTGGCGCACCTTTCACACGGTCCGTAGCCCCGTAGGGAGCTCCACCGAATGCCACAGTGGCAGGGTCCACATGGCGGCAACGCCCCTTTTTGGCGCACCACTCACATGGTCCGAGGCCTTATAGGGATCTCCACCGAAGGCACCAGTAGCAGGGTCCACATAGTGACGGTGCCCCTCATCGGCGTACCCCTCACACGGTTCGTGGCCCCATAGGGAGCTCCACCGAAAGCGGAGCCACAACACGGTATTCACAACTGCATATGGTTGGGTTTTTCGCCAGGATGATTCTATTGTCGCTTCCGTCTCTGCGATGTTCGCAGCGACCACGACGGCCCCAGAGGCCCCTTGCACCGCCCCAAAACGACCCACGAGGGACCTCAGACGGCCCAAAAGAGACGACCAAGACGGCCCAAACGGGCTCCCCGAGGGCCCCAAGAAAGGCCCACTGTGGACGATTGCAACTGACATTTCCTGCTCTCCCCGCCAAGAGGGCCCCCGAGCCCGCGATCACGCACGCCCCCAGGAGGTCCCCAAGAGTCCCCAAGAGGCCCACAAGAGACCCTCAAGAGGCTCCCAAGAAGCCCCAAAGAGGACCTCCGTTACGTGACCTGTTCCCTCAATGGATGGGTATTTGGACTCCTCGGCCTCCTGAGGGCTCGCCCCGGCTCTCCTTCTATCTCCTTCTTTCCTGGGACGGGACCTGACCAACGCCTCCTCGCTGCTATGCTATGCGATGAGTTCCTTAGTGCGCACTCGTCTTTTCGCTTACACGCTGCGGGAACCACCTCCCAACCCTTGGAGGCCAGACTTCGCGTGCCAGCACGGCGTCCTAGTGCGCGCCAGATCTTGGGCTCAACATCAGAGAGGATTTTGGCACTGACCAGTCTCTTCTCTCGGCCTGGCCGTCGCCTCTAGTGCGTTGCTCTCCTGTCCGCTCGGTGCTTGTGGGCACCGGCGGCGGGCGCGAGCACCCTGCAGCTCGGCCACCGGCGCTGGCCGCTGTGCCGCTAGGGCTGTGGAGTCGCGGTGCGCCTGGCCTCCCCGTTGGCGCCCTGAGGCGTGCCGGCGTCCTCCAAGGGTCTGCCGGCCTCATCAGGGGGGATTCAACATCCTGGGCGCCGAGCCGTCTTTTTCCCAACCGTCCAGTGGTCTGGATCTGCGTTTTGAAGAGACAGCGCCCCGCGTTCCTCTTCTCTCCTCCCCTCTCCTCTCCTCTCCTCTCCTCTCCTCTCCTCTCCTCTCCTCTCCTCTCCTCTCCTCTCCTCTCCTCTCCTCTCCTCTCCTCTCCTCTCCTCTCCTCTCCTCTCCTCCTCCCGCTCCTCCCTCCTCCAAACCTTGCCTTTGCTCTCCGTGTGTCCACCAACCCCCAACCCCCTAGCGAGCTCCACCGAAGGCCCCAGTTGCACCGTCCGCCTGCGTCTGCGCCACTCATGTCGGCACACCCCTCACAAGGTTCGTGGCCCCATAAGGAGCTCCACCGAAGGTTCCCAGGGCGCCGCCCGCATGCGTCCGACCCACCCATTTCGGCACACCCCTCACACGGATCGCGGCCCCACAGGCAGCTCCACAGAAGGTCCCAGGGGCACCACCCGTTTGCGTCCGACCCACCCATTTCGGCACACCCCTACCGAGGATCGTGGCCCCTTAGGGAGTTCCACCGGAGGTCCCAGTGGCGCCGCCCGCATGCGTCCGACCCACCCATTTCGGCACACCCCTCCCACGTTTCGCGGCCCCATAGGGAGCTCCACCGAAGGTCCCTGCGGCCGTCCTCGCGCGCGCCTCCCCCGCCCATTTCGGCACGCCCCTCACATGTTTCGTGGCCCCCTAAGGAGCTTCGCCGAATGTTTGCAGCGGCCGTCGTCGCATGCGTCTCCCCCACTGCCCGCATGCGGTACCCGCCCAACGTTGGCACATCTCTCACGTGGTTCGCCCGTCTCAGGCGGTTCGCCCGTCTCACGCGGTTCGCGGCCCCGTAGGGAGTTCCCTTTCGATCGTCCCACCTGCCCTGCGGTACTCACAGCTGCACTTGGTTGGATCCCACGCCAGGAGAAGGTAGCCTCATGGCCTCCAGGTTTTCCGTGGGGGCCTTGGCTGGAAACGAGCGCGCATGCAGCAAAAAACTCTGTCCAGAGCCTTGCGTTCTGGCCTTCTTCGCGTCCTCCCCATCCATATTTTCCTTATCCTTCCTCCCACGCGTGCTTCCCCTAGCAACCGGGTCCAATTTCCGGAACCAGCGGCAAGCAGTTTGCTCGTCCGCATGTTGCGCCTCAGCTGCGCCCGGGTCCTGGAGATGGGTACCAGGCACGGGGACTGCGCTTTCGGTCGGGGACCTTAAGTCCATCCGCCTCAAGTGGGTCGAGTTCGTACATTCCAGTTTCGCATGCCACTCGACTTTGCTAGGTTGGTATTGGTTTTCATAGCTTCGTTGGGACCTTGCCACCCTACGCACAAAGCCGTCTCGGGTGGGCAGCGAGTCACGGCCGACGGGGTCTCCTCATCGCTCCTTGATCTGTCTGTTGGGGAGACCTAGTTTTTTTTACAGCCTCTTCCACAATACATGCTCCATCCGTCATGTGTTCTGCAGAGCCTGCGGCGGAGCCCCAGCCCATCCTAGAGTTGTCCGCTCGCTGCGGGTTCTCGCCGATGTCGCTGATGCGGTGACGTGGCCGCGCCTGGAGAGCGCAGTTTGCTCCATTTTCCTCCTGTCTGTAGAAGCCTCTGCCCTCGACCTCTGCCCCTTCCACTGGGAGGGGGAGGGGGAGGGGGAGGAGGAGGAGGAGGAGGAGGAGGAGGAGGAGGAGGAGGAGGAGGAGGAGGAGGAGGAGGAGGAGGAGACGGAATAATAATAATAATACTAATAATAATAATGATAATGATAATGATAATAATAATATTAATAATGCTGATGTTGATGATGATAATAATGATAATATGAATAAGAATGATGATAATAATAGTAATAATAATAGTAATAATAATAATAACACTAATAATAGTAATAATAATAATAACAATAATAATCATAATATTAATACTAATAATACTACTAATACTAATACTAATACTAGTAATAATAAGAATAAGAATAAGACTACTAATAGTGTATATATTGAGCTTGCTGGATGGTTTTCGGAATGCCAGGTCTCTCATCCGGCCTCGTCTCGACTATCTCTGTTAACTTTTTGCTCAACATCGCCTGGCGGCGATCGGTTCGGGCGCCACGACGAGCCACTCCGAGGTTGCCGCCTCCGCGCGATCAGCCTTCCTCGCGAGCTCGGCGCTGCTGCTCTGGAGCCAGGCGGGGTGGCATCAGGCGACCTGGGCTGCGGGGCGCTACGGGCACGAGGCGGCGCGGGCGCTGTCTGTCGCGGGGGCGCGAGGCGTCGCCGCGCTGGGCGAGGCCGCCCAGGCCGCCGCGGGCTGGGGTTGGCGGGCCCTGCACGCGGCCGCGACCCTCGTGAGCTCCCTGCTTGCTCTCGCCTGGGAGCAGCGCGGGTGGCTGGCGCGGGGAGCCCGTGCCAGTTGGTCAAGCTGCCGCGCGGCGCTGGAGGCCACCTGGGCCTTGGGCGCGCGGGCGGCCGGAGGGCTCCGTGGCTGGAGGGCGGCCCGTCGGGCCGAGTGCGCACGCGCTCGCGAGCTCGCAGCCGCTTCAACCGCTCTCGAGTACGCTTTGGTGGAGATGGCGCTGGCCGGTGGCGTGGCCGTGGGAGCGGCCGACCCTTGCTGGGTGCTGCTCTCCCGCAGCGGCGAGTGGGACGAGGTCTTGGTCTTCGGGCAGGTGCGCGGCGCGGACTACAGCCTGGCCCTGACGACGGACGCGACGGGCCTCACGTTCGTCTGGGTGCTGGTGCGGCTGCTGCCAGGGCACTTCCGCGCCGTGGTCGTGCCTGGCGGGGGGGCCCTCCGCACGCCGACTTTCGGCATCGCGGGGGCCCTGGCCAACTGGGTCTGCGAGCCGCCCCGCGCCGCGGTCCAGTGGGACCCGAGCGTGGCCGAGCTCGCCGCGCTGCGCCTGGAGGCCCAGGGCGTGGACGCGGCCCTGCCGACCATCGCGCTGGCGCCGGGGGTGATCTTCGACGCGGGTTCGCAGGCGGCGGCGATTCCCGCCTTCATGCCGGTGGGGGGGCCCCTGCCGGCGGTGGGGGCCGGCGCCGTGGTGCCGGCTGCGGCGGCGGGCGCGGGGGCGGCAGCAGCGGCCCTGCCCGCAGGCGCGGTTGCGCTACCCGCCGCGGGCGCGGCGGGACCCGCGGCTGCCGCGGGTCTGGGCTTCGCCGCAGCGGGAGTCCCCGACGGAGCGGCGGCGGCGGCTCCAGCAGCGGGAGGCCTGGACCTGGCCACGCTGCTCAACGAGGTGCGCGCGATCCAGGGCCAGCTGCAGGACGGAGGCAGCAAGGGCAGCAAGAACGACAAGAAGGACAAGAAGTCCGACCCCAAGCAGAAGAATAATAATACTAAGAAAAATAAGAGGTCCGACTCCAGCGGCTCGTCGAGCTCGAGCGTGAGCAGCTCGTCGAGCAGCAGCGCCTACCCTCGGTGGCGCGGGCCCAAGGCCAAGAGCCGTCGAGTCGACCCCGCGCAGGAGCGCAAGATTGAGACCGAGAAGTTCAAGGCGAAGGGCGACCTCTTGGCGTTCGCGGCCAAGCGTCTGGGGGCGCTGTCGGGCTACTTCCTGGCGATGGTGCACCGCAAGCTGAGCCACGGGCGCTTGTCGGAGACCAAGCAGCTGCGGCACGCGTCGGTGACGACGTGGGCTCGGGCGCACTCGGGGCTGAACGAGCTGCGCGACCAGCGCGAGGTGCAGACGCTGGCACTCGTCATGGACCTGATCAACACGCAGGACCTGGCGATCCAGCGGGCCAAGGCCAAAGGGGGCTCCTGGGAGAAGGCGGAGGCCGCGGAGTTGCCGGCGGGGACGGGGGCGGGGTCGCTGCAGGCGGCCTTTTGAAGCTCGCCATGTGACGAGGTGACGGAGGGCGCGGCAGAGGTGGCTGCACCGCGGGGGCCAGGAGTGCACGCTGGCTTCCGTCTTGGTCGGTCTCGGCGACTGGCTAAGCTTCGCGGGTGGTCCCCTGGGGCTACCCCTACGTCGTGGACACCTCGTTCGGCCTCGAGTCGTGGAGTTCGGGAAGTCTTCGCCGGTGATCTTCCCAGTCCCGCTGCTGCGGCGTGGTGACGCTGAGCTCGCAAAATTCGGGCGCAAGCAGCGGGGCGCAGTTTTGGTCTGGGCAAACATGTGCATCGCCGCGCTCGACGACCTGTACGACGGGGACGGCGACTACACCATGGTGCCGACGCAAGTCCAGCGACGTGTTCAAGGGCGCATGCTGATGGGCGTCTCCCGCTTCCTTGCGGCCGAGTTGGATTGGCCATCGGCGGCGTCAATTCAAGAGGTCTTGCGCCACTCCGACGGCTACGAGCCGCCCAGGTCCAGGTGCGTCACGCGTCGCGGAGCCCCTCGGCGAGCGCGGCGGAGTTCTTGACCGCGCCGCCGTCGTCGACCTGGCTGGGCTGCTGGGCGAGCACTTCCCTGGGCTTGGTCATCGGGTTCGCTGCCCCCGCTCGCTGCTTCTGAGCGTGGATCGGCGGCCCGCCAGGCTCAGGAGACCTCGCGTTCTGGCGGGGCCCACCTACCCGAGCCTTGTGGCGCGCAACGTGGCGGCGGGCCTGCAGGGGTGCGGCTCCGAGAAGAGGGTGCGCAAACATCGTGGCGTTGCTCTCGTTGCTGGGGCCTTCGGCGTGAAGATGTCGGACGCGGAGCAGCGGGTGATCTCGGACTTGCCGGCGAACCAGCTGCTCTTCCTCGGCCGACCTTCGCGCGCCCACCGCGGCTCCGCGTCGTCGAGGCGCTGCCAGGCGCGCGGGTCGAGCTCTGGGAGCGAGACCTGCGCCGCTAATTTCACCTGTTGGCGATCGGCAAGACTTGGCGGAAGTGCATGGCCCATCCGCCGGTCCCAGGCCCGCGTGGAGGAGGGGCCGAGGTCTTCCCGTTCCACCGCGCCACGCCGATGGGCTTCGCGCCGTCGGCGGGCTGGGCGCGGGCGGCGTCCGACGCCGCGTTCCTGAAGGCAGGGCTGCCGCAGGAGCGCGGGGTCACGTTCGACAAGCCCTACCCTGCCGAGCTGCCGCTCTGGGGGCCCATCGTCGACGACCTCTGGGCTCTGGGCGAGCGCTCTGCGGGCGACCGCGCGCGGAGCCAGGCCGCCTTCTGGATGACAGAGGCCGAGCGCGCCCGGGGCCGCATGGGCGCGCCAGTGCATCGCGGCAAGTCTGTGGGCGGCGGCGGCGGCGGCGAGTTCCAGGGCGCCGAGGTTCGCCCGACGGAGCACTGGCTGGGTGCCGCCCGCCGCCGCCGCCTGGACCTCTTCGCGGCCGCCCTCGCGCTCCTGGGCCAGCAGCTGTTCTACCGCGAGGGTGTGGAGCGCCTGGTTGGCAAGCGCGGCTTCTGTCAGAGTTATCGGCCCTGCCTGCGGTCAACTTTTTCTCAGGTCTATGCGTGGCTGGAGCGCCTGCCGCAGCAGGGGCGCAAGCCAGTGGCGTGGTGCCCGTCGGCGTGGCACGAGGTGCTTGTGTCGGCCATCCTGCTGCCGTTCGCAGAGCAGGACCTGGATGCGGGCTGGTGCCCCCGCGTGGAGTGCACGGGCGCCGCGCCAGGGGGGCATGGCCAGGCCTGGGCGACGCTGCCGCTGGACGCGGTGCAGCGCGTCGCCAGGTGGGCTGACCACCGCGCGCCCTGCACCACGCTCAGCGACGGCTTCGGCGTCGACGTGGGCGTCGAGGACCGCTGCAGCCTGGCCCGCGCCACGCTGCCGCCAGTGGGGCACTGGTTCAAGGTGGGCAGGCCGGGCGGCTACGAGCACATCACGCTCGAGGAGGCGCGCGCCAAGCTGTGGGGCATGGAGGCCCGACTGCATCGGCCCTCTGAGCTGGGGCAGCGAGTTCTGCATGCTGGCGAAATCGCCCCCTGCGAGGGCGCCTTCATCAAGGGGCGCAGTGCCAGCCGCAGGCTCAACCGGCGCTGCCGCCGCGGGGCGGCCATCGAGCTGGCAGGGGGGTTCTCGCACTTCCACATCTGGACCTCGATGGGCAAGAACCCTGCCGACGAGCCCGGCGGCTGGCGCGGGTCGCGCCAGGCACGCGGCGGCGGGCGCAAGCCCAGCCGCTGCCCTGCCGGGAGGGGATCCCGCTGGCGCCGGCAGGCTGGGCATCCCGCGAGAAGCTCTTCTTGCGCTTCTGCTCCGGGCTTAGGCGCGAGGGCGACTTGTGCGAGATGGTCGAACAGGAGGCGCGGGGGGCTGGCCTGGTGGTGAAGGCGCTGGCCTACGACCCCGCGGTGGACCCCGCCCGCGACCTGGCGTCGCCCGCGCTGGTGCGCGAGCCCAGGGGCCTGTGCAGCAGCGGCGACGTGATGGGCTCCCTCGCAGGGCCGCCTTGCTCGACCGTCAGCCGCGCCAGGCATCGCGTCCTGCGCCGCGGCCCGCGCCCGTTGCGCTCTCGAGACGAGCCGCTCTTGCCCCTGCCTGGGCTGTCAGAGACCGAGCGCCAGGCGTGCTCGCTGGGAACGCACCTCTTCCTCTTGCCTCGAGTTGTTCATCAGAGTTCATCTCGGAGGGGGCTGGGCAGGGCAGGAGCATCCTCAGGATCCAGGCCGTCACCCCTTCCCGTCTTTCTGGGATGCTCAGGAGGTGGTGGGGTGGATCTCGGAGTTCGGGTTGCACGTCGTCTCGTTCGATCAGTGTCGGCATGGATCGATGTCTCAGAAGCCCACGTCCGTCGTCACCAATGACGCCAGGGCCGTTGATGTCTTGGGGCTTCGCTGCAATCATCCACACCGTCATAAGGGTATCTATGGCCTGGCCCCTGGGGGAGGCTTCGTCACCGCTCAGCTGGCTCGTTATCCTCCGCAGCTGTGCCGGGCTCTTGCTCGCTTGGCGGTCGGCGCGCTCGTCATCCATCAACAAGACCAGAGCCATGGCCGACGACCATCGCAGGCGCCGTGGGCGCATCATTACCTTCTTGATGATTGCGCTGAAGCCGGTGACGACCGACAGGTACGCCGCCGCACTGTGCGCTTTCAGCTCTGACCTGGAGGCGCTGGGCTACGGCATCCACGAGCTCTCTGAGGAGGAGCTCGACTGGTTCCTGGCTGAACGTGTGGTGGACCTGTTCGAAGAGACTGGCGGGGTGGAAGGGCTCGGGGCGGCCTCGACCCTTCTTGCTGCCTTCGCGAAGGCGAACCCTCGGCACCACTACCGCGCGCCTGGAAGGCGCTGGATGTCTGGCGCGCCCGGATGCCGCCTCTGCAGGCGCCCGCGCTGCCAGCGGTGCTGGCGCTGGGCGTCGTGAACTGGCTCGTCCTGGCCGGGGAGTGCGGCTGCGCGGCCGCCGTGCTGCTGTGCTTCGCGGGCCTCCCGCGGGCGTCGGAGGCGCTCTCGCTGGGCGGCCCGACCTGGATCAGGACCACCTCCGGCTACGCGGCGCTGCTCGGCCGCGCCAGGAGGGGGGCAGAGCAGAAGGTCCTGTTCGAGGGGCCGCCCACCGTCAACTGGTTGGACCACTACACGTTGCGTTTTCCCGCCAAGGCGGGGCAGGAGTTGTGTCCGATCTCGTGCCCTCTGCTTCGGCGGTGGCTCCAGAAGGCCGCAGACGCGTTGGGCTTTGGCGCCGTGCACTGGGCGTCCCACGGGCTGCGCCGAGGCGGGGCCACCGAGCTGCTGGCGCGGGGAATCCCGCCAGACATCATGCTCTTCGGGCGGTGGCTCTCGGAGGGATCGGCGCGCCAGTATCTGCGTCGCGGGGAGGTGGGCCTTGCTCGTGTGCGTGTGGACATTCCTAACTCTGCCTGGTTTCTTCCTTGCAGATGCTGTTCAGTTGGGGCCCAGATGTGGGCTGTAGTCTGATATCAGTGTGCCTTTTTCCTTTCTGATTGGTGTTTCGAAACTATCGCTGGGTAGGGGGTGGTGGCGAGGCATTGGCCTGCGCAAGCTTGCTTGATTCGGTCGTGGCCGCATCGCACCTTTGAACAAAGTCAGGGATGCCTTGCACCGTGTCTTTATTCCCGTACGCTTCGCGTGCGCCCTCCCCTGTTTCGGGTCGGAGAGTTGGTTGTGGGTGACGTCCTGAAATAGATGGAGCTTGCTGGATGGTTTTCGGAATGCCGGATCTCTCATCTGGCCTCGTCTCAACTATCTCTGTTAACTTTTGGCCCCGCTGCGCTCCCGCCCACCCGTGGTGGTCACCATGCAACAGAGTGGAGTGCGCGGGCCACCCGCTGCTCTTCCTGGCGAGGCATTGGCCTGCGCAAGCTTGCTTGATTCGGTCGTGGCCGCATCGCACCTTTGAACAAAGTCAGGGATGCATTGCACCGTGTCTTTATTCCAGCACGCTTCGCGTGCGCCCTCCCCTGACAAGGGTCGGAGAGTTGGTTGTAGGTAACGTTCTGATATATATATATATATATATATAGCAATCGTATCATTCAGAATGCTACTGCTGAGAGTAATAGCAATCATAAGAAGACGAAGACAAACCATACTATCAAGACGGCACATATTTGTAATATTAAGACAAAGAATACGAACGACGATGCTACTGATAATACGATTAATTAGTACACTAATAGTAGGACGCATACTACTAATCATACGAATAACCATAGTATTCATAACACGAGTAATAACGCTATTTTAAGACTTTTAATACTCGTAATGCTATAACAATAATACTATGTATACTACTATAAGGAAAATGCTACGACAACTAATCATAATAACAGGATGAGTAGGAGGAGGGGGAGGAGGAGGAGGAGGAGGAGGAGGAGGAGTGCCCTCGACTTCTGTTCCTTCCACTATCTCTTTGTTCCTGTGATCGGTGAACTCCGCCCGTACCACTGTCTGCTGTCTGCAGACATGTCCCCGCCCGGCTCGCCGACCTAAATGGCGGCGTGTAGGGCTTCAGCGAGCTCGTCGAAGCCGACGCCTTAGCGCCAACATGGCTCCTGACTCCCCTCCTCCTGGCGTTCCTCTGCCCTGCGCTCCAGGGCTGTCTCCAGACTGAGGAGTGGGCCTCCCTCGCGGCCACGGCGGGGCGCGGTTCGGAAGACCAGCCAAGGCGGCATTCTGGGAGGAAAGGAGGCCCAAGATGACCACAGCGATTGAGAATGAGGGAGGTGGAGAGCTTGAGATTGCCTTGGGCGGGGGGCTGTCGTCCCCTCGCGCGCGCCGACGGGGTCTGCGGCGGGTTCTCGAGGGGGAGGCATTGGAGGCCTCTCCCGTGGCCACGGCTGGGCGCGGCCCTGGGCAACTGGTCAGGGCGGAGGTCGAAGCTCGAACTCGGTCGGGCATGTCCTCCTACAGGCGCAGCTTGGAGGGGAAACGGACGTAGCCTATGAAAGCTCAAAAAGAATCGCCAGTAGCCAACAAAATGGCCCCCAGAGTCCTGATCGACAGGCTGCCCTCGGGCCTGGCGCCGCGGGGCAGCCGCGGTGGCCGGCGCCTCTCCCCCCCCGCGGGGCCCCGGCGTCGGGCCGCGGGGCCGTCGGTGGGCGGCCCGGGGTCCGCAGGGCGGCAGTGGCCCGCGTTCTGGACGGAGCACGGCGTCGGAGGGGGGGGGGGCGGGGAGTGCAGGGGAGGAGCAGGTAATGCGGGATAGGAGGAGGAGGAGGAGGAGGAGGGGAGGAGGGGGAGGGAGGAGGAGGAGGGCGGGGCGGGGAGGAGGAGGAGGAGGAGGGCGGGGCGGGGAGGGAGGAGGAGGAGGAGGAGGAGGGCAGGGCGGGGAGGAGGAGGGGGATAGGAGGAGGAGGAGCAGGTAATGCGGGATGACGATTCCTAAAAAGATGGGGAGCCTCGATGAAAACATAGTTTTCGGCCATGTCTGCATCATTTTCGGACTGGAGGAGAACGATTAAAAAATTGTTTTGCAGCCCGCGGCCGGTTTTTTCTGATCGTCATCCCGGGCGCCGCCGCGTGAACACGACCCCCGGTCATTTATTAATCGTCATCCTCCATTACCCACCCCGTCGGTGGCCCTCGTCGCCGCCGCCGGATCCGCCTCGAAGTCCTGGCCGGAGCGCGCCCCGGGAGAGGCCTGGGGAGCAGCGGTATCGGTACCTTCTGGTTTCACCAGGAGTCCTCCTCCTCCTCCTCCTCCTCCTTCTCCTCCTATCCCTCCTCCTACTCGTCGTCGTCGTCGTCGTCGTCGTCGTCCTTCTCTTCCTCCTCCTCCTCCTCCTCTTCCTCCTCGTCCTCCCCTCCTCCGCCTTCTCCTCGTCCTCCTCCTCCTCCTCCTACTCGCCCCACCCCCGCTCGCCGATCCCGCGGGTGCCGGGGACTCGTTTGACCACAACCCCTACGAGGACGGTATCTACAATAACCAAATGTGTAACCGCAACCTCTACAAGGACATCGGCTTCTACAGGGTCAGCCCGTTTGATCACATCCCTACGATAATTACGACGTCGAAAATTACTCCGACGGAAGAACCCCACATAAGAATCCTCTGGGCGAATCTGGAAAAAGCCATCACCGTCGTCCTCGTGGTTGGTGAGGCGTCCTGGCTGTCTCTTCTGCGTATATTTCCTCTCGCCTTGGCGCGGGCCCCCCTTCCACTCCTTACGTTGTCCCCATCCTCGCCCCCCTGTTTGTTCCGCGCCCCGCCACCTCCTCCCCTTCCTGTTGCATGAGCGCGCATGTCGATGTTCCTCGGCGCCGTCGCCGCCACGGCCAGCACAGGCGCGTTCTCTACAGGTCACGTCGCGCAGCCGTTGGGACAACCCCGCGGGCCAGGCTGTCGGGACAACCCCGCGAGCCGTTGGCGCGCAAGACCAAGCCGTTGGGACAACCCCGCGGGCTTCGAGCGAGGCGCAGCCGCGCTCAGGCGGAAGGCAGCACGAAGCCCAGCTCTGCCGCGAGCTGCTTCGCCTCCGCCCTGGACAAAACCGTTCTCTTGTCGAACTCCAGGAGCGCCTTCCGCAGGGACGCCGGCGGCCCGCACTCCAGGAACTCTCGCGGCGGCGGCCGCAGGATCAGCATGTTCCGCATGCACGTGGCGCGGGAGAACATGACGTAGAGGTGCAGCCACCACTGCTCGTCCGACATGCCCGTGCGGCCAGCGTCCTCGTCTCTCGCGCAGTCGATGGTGACGCCCTTGCGCAGCGTCTGGCCCTGCGACAGCGTGGAGGTCAGGTAGGACGCGTGCGTCAGGGTGAACCCCGAGCGGCGCACGCTGTGCGCCCCCGAGCTCTGCCATGTGAACTCCCTTTCGCTGGGCCTGAACATCAGCAAGCTCCGCGCCCGCGCCTCGGCCTGGCCGTCGTCGTCGGCGCCTTCGGCGCCCTGTCGCAGCACCTCGGCGACCTGAGGAGCCCAAAAACTTCCTTGTTGCATCCAAAGTGTGGCCTGGGAACTGCGTTCTGGCAGCGCGAGAACCCAACATTGACGACAGTTACAGGATGACCTGCTCGGATTACCAACATGATCTGCGGGCCCCATAGGGAGGGGGCTCCCGCCTGAGACTTCCTCGCAGTTCACTCACAGACGAGGCTCCCGCCTGAGACTTCCTCCATATTCAGGCTTGAGGAGCCCAAAAGTGACGACAGTTACAGGGTTCCGATGACCCGCTCGGATTACCAACATGATCTGCGGGCCCCATAGGGAGGGGGCTCCCGCCTGAGACTTTTCACAATTCACTCAAAGACGAGGCTCCCGCCAGAGACTTCCTCCAAATTCAGGCTTGACGAGCCCAAAAGTAACGACAGTTACAGGGTTCCGATGACCCGCCTCGGATTACCAACATGAAGTGCGGGCCCCATAGGAAGGGGGCTCCCGCCTGAGACTTCCTCGCAATTCACTCACAGACGACGCTCCCGCTTGATACTTCCTCCACATTCACGCCCCAGGAGCCCAAAAGTGACGACAGTTACAGGGTTCCGATGACCCGCCTCGGATTACCAACATGAAGTGCGGGCCCCATAGGGAGGGGGCTCCCGCCTGAGACTTCCTCGCAATTCACTCACAGACGACGCTCCCGCTTGATACTTCCTCCAAATTCACGCCCCAGGAGCCCAAAAGTGACGACAGTTACAGGGTTCCGATGACCCGCCTCGGATTACCAACATGAAGTGCGGGCCCCATAGAGAGAGGCTCCCGCCTGAGACTTCCTCGCAATTCACTCACAGACGACGCTCCCGCTTGATACTTCCTCCATATTCACCCCCCAGGAGCCCAAAAGTGACGACAGTTACAGGGTTCCGATGACCCGCCTCGGATTACCAACATGAAGTGCGGGCCCCATAGGGAGGGGCTCCCGCCTGAGACTTCCTCGCAATTCACTCACAGACGACGCTCCCGCTCGATACTTCCTCCATATTCACGCCCCAGGAGCCCAAAAGTGACGACAGTTACAGGGTTCCGATGACCCGCCTCGGATTACCAACATGAAGTGCGGGCCCCATAGGGAGGGGGCTCCCGCCTGAGACTTCCTCGCAATTCACTCACAGACGACGCTCCCGCTTGATACTTCCTCCAAATTCACGCCCCAGGAGCCCAAAAGTGACGACAGTTACAAGGTTCCGATGACCCGCCTCGGATTACCAACATGAAGTGCGGGACCCATAGGGAGGGGGCTCCCGCCTGAGACTTCCTCGCAATTCACTCACAGACGACGCTCCCGCCTGATACTTCCTCCAAATTCACGCCCCAGGAGCCCAAAAGTGACGACGGAATTCTCATCCGCATGATGAGGCAGAAGAGGAGAGGGGGTGGGGTGAGTGTTCCTGCGCGGGGTGTGCAGAGAAAACAAGAACCCCACTTTGGATGTGGGGAACTACAAGGACGGCGGCCCGCTGCCCATGCCTGCCTCTCACCTGGGGTGTTTTCAAACTATGTTTGAGTCGCTCGTGGGTCCAGAAACTCTCTCTCCTCTTTTGCTGGGTTCACCCGCAGAAGGGGACCCTGCTGCATATAATGAACACTTGATTGGCACAGCGTTCACATCAGCAGCCCCAGCCGATGGTCCCAAACTGATCACAACCATGTTGCAAGAACCCCGGGAATTGCAGGCGGAAAAACCTTTGGATAACAGTGGGAAGTCGTTGGGATGTCCGGAGACAGTGTTATCGATTTTCCAAGGGACAGTCAAGCAGATGTAGGGTGATTTGCTTTCGATATCTTGGAGCGTGACTTATCGCCACATCCACCGAAACATTTCTGTCTGGTAGGACGGGATCCCGATGCGCCCTCCTCTTGGCGATCGTGCCGTTGGCTGCGTTCAGTACAATGAAGACACGACGCACGAAGGGCATTCCCACAACTATGTTGTAGGATGTCCCGAGTGCAGCAAACGCCACGACGACAGGACAGGAGACTACGCCCAATACGCTGACGAGGAGGAACACAGTCGGGGCAGGGACCCACGACGACTCCGAGGTTCATGGTCAGAGCAACCGCCGTTGGTGGCCCCTTGGCCTCCAGCACCTCCTTGACGTATGCAAGGACACCCTTTTTTTCCATATGTAATGCCATTGAGGTGGGCATGCCCGCGCTGGCCAGCTGCTTGACCTGCCTGGGCGCAGGCGGTGGCAACGACAGCATGCGACGCTTCTGCGCCTGTGGGCCCGCGCAGCAACCCCAGGTTCCCTTCCAACGATGAGTGCGGGTGGTGATGATCTGGTCAGTGGCGAACTCGGACCTGAACGAGTTCCGCCAGTCGGCCAACGTCTCGTCTCGCCTCGATGGCATGGCCTGCAAGTGCGTGGACGAGTGGCCGCCGGGTGTCCTTATTCAGGGAGGTCACATCAACGGCAACCCAGTGCCACCGATGACCTTCCTGAATCACAGTCTGGCCGAACGTTGGGGCCAACTTTGCGAGGAGGAGCGCGCCTCAGCAGTGTAAGCGCTGATGAACTTCAACCTGCTACCGCAGGAGCGCATCGACAACTTCCTCGCGCGTTTCGATATCCAGCAGAACCGCGCGCCACAAACTGGTCATCTCATGATCGGCTACGATGGCCTCAGCCCCCTCCTCCTTCGCGTGGTCGG